ACGCATATATACAGGCTATTCTACTGCAGTTTGATGCCCAATATTTCATTACTGATACACTCTATTAGAATCACACATCTTTTTCTGGTCTTCCTGTGTTTTAATTTTGCACGCTGATATACGTACCATTGAATCTCATTATTCTTCAACCAATCATGTACGTCTCTGTTCGTCCATTTACTGACAGGGTGTGCTGTGATTGGTCTATTCATGCCCATAGATGGCGACATAGCGCTGATATCTGAATCGGGTTTCTTCCCCGGAGAACGGATCGTTCTTCCCTTATCGCCAAGTTCTTTGACCAAATGTTGGATGCAGACACCGAACGGCTGGGTTTTGTTGGCGAAGTTGATGTAAAACTTCGTGCCGATTATGGCTCCTAACCAACCAGTGGGTTTGTAGTTCTCATCAACGAGGAGAGGAATTATTTCTTTTCTTTGTTGAAATGCGTATTCCGCTTCTGTGAAGGAAGCACAAATAACTGTAATGTACAGAGGGAGGTATAGACAATTCGCTACAAAGAGTACCATTATCGAACTCTCATTTGTATGTTCGCACTTGCTATTTCGTGTCTATGCAGACAATGTACTCACTGCAAGTAGCCCTCGTTTACGTACCTACACGACAGTTAGGACTGTCTTTATATTTCTGTGAGACACACACAAGTACAACCGAAGCCTTTTCCACAGCGTCCGCCATTGCTTGTAAAGTCGACCCTCCCATCTCATCCAAGTCCAACCAGACTCGATATCCACTTTTCAGCAACTGTTCCTTAATTTTAATCATCAATTTTTGAACATCCCATTGATAGCTTATCATCACGTGATCGCCGACCACTTCTTTCGAAGGTACAATCCCTTCGGCCTTCACGCATTTTTCTGGACTCCCTTGTTCTGTGCTCGTGTGAAAATCATAGTACATTGCATAACATTTTGATTTATACGTGTTACACAATGAAATCTGGCAACATATAGTTCACATGAATTTAATTATCCATCACTTTCAACTGTACTGGCACAGTATTATTTGATTTAGTAATTAACCTTCCCGCGTGATGTCAAAACACGAACATTGTTCTGGTTCTATCGTAGTATTTGGTCATTCAAACAGAAATTTCACTGCTCGATTTGTGCAACATATTCACGTAACTTATAGTACTGCCATATGAAGTCAGCACAAAGACTCTAACCCCAACACATATACATCTAACTCAACACATATACACCGAACTCAACATATGTACACGAAAATAACATAAATAGTACACCTAATTCAACACATCTACACCGACCTCAACACATACACACCGAACTAAACAAATGCATGGAACCCAACAAATATACATCGAAACTTAAACAAATACACATAATTCAACAAATATACACCGTCCTCAACACATATACACCGTCCTCAACACAAATACACCGTCCTCAACACATATACACCGAACCCTAGTGCACAAATGTATGGAACCCAACCCATATACATCGAAACTTA